GCCTTTTTTTTTTTTTTTTTTTTTTTTAACTCCCCGCTGTTCTTGTAGTGGAGTTGCCAGATCGTTCTCATCTGAGGCTCTTGAGGACCCTTTCGGCGCTTTGTAGACTCTTGTCTTGGTCCCTGAACGTTGATCACACAGGGCTCCTCGCCTGGTGCTCAGACCAGCGCAGCGGGGTGGACGAGCTCCCGGGCGCCGCTCAGGGGCTCGGGGCTCCCTGGAAGCATCGTGAGAGCTTTTGGGGTGCTTGTCCCCCAGGGGCCCCTCATCCAAACGATAGCCAAGCCGCTCGGAAAAATGGTGCCAGTAACGTTTTGTGCTCGATCTGCAGCTGTCATCTGCGTCCCTCACGATGGAAGAAACGGGGAAGACCACTATCCAGCTGCAGAGACCCATAAAGACTGAGTGGAATTCTCAGTGCGTCCTTTTCACCTATTTCCAAGGGGACATCGGCAGCGTAGTGGACGAACACTTCTCCAGGGCTCTGAGCAGTGTCAAGAGGCCCCAGCGACTGAGCCCCTCGAGCCAGAGTGCAGATGTGATCCTGAGGAACGGTGAGCAGGCTGGGTGGGAGGAAGCTGGAAGTTTCTATCAAGGCTGTCACGGAAAGACCGGTTCTGCGATGCCTTTGTGCTCACACGCGTGTATTTGCTGCAGGCGAGTCACACTGTAAATGAGAAGCCGCACCCGTTTCTTAGAAGTTTCTTGTCAAAATCGGGACACCTGGGTGGCTCAGTCGGTTGACCGTCCGACCTCGGCTCGGGTCGTGATCTCGCGGTTCGTGTGTTCGAGCTCGTGAGTTCGAGCCGACTGAGCCACAGCAGGCGCCCCTGTTTCTTTTTGTTTCTTTTTGAGAGAGAGAGACAGACCCAGTGTGAGTGGGGGAGGGGAGGTGGGCAGAGAAAGGGGGAGCACGGAGCCCGACGTGGGGCTCGATTGAACCCATGAACTGTGAGATCGTGACCTGAGCCGAAGTCAGACGCTTAACCGACCGAGGCACCCAGGCGCCCCCCTCCAAACACCATTCTGAAATGTGCAGTGGACCAGGGCCTGGTTGATTTTAAAAACTCTCTATTGGGGGAGGGGGAGGAACTCTCTACTGTACTTGCCCAGCACCCACATCGAATGCTCGGCCCCCCCTTGGGCCTTGGTTGCTTGTTTTGTGCAAAGCTGCCAAGCGGGGCCTCTGCCTGCGGGGGAAGATGTCCCCTGTTTGCAGAATCCATCACTCTGGCTTTGCTCTTTGGGCCTGGACGTGGACGTGGTGTATATCTGATGTGTTCACCTTTGCAGCATTTAGTGCTTTCCTAGAAGTTATTTGTCCAGCCAGGCGACGTGATTTTCCCCCAGTCCCAGGACACCAAAGGGCAGGATGTAAAGTTTGCTGTTGCCGTGGGCGCGAAGGGCAGGGGGCGGGGAGTGGGGAGTGCCATCCAACAGTGTGTTGAGTACTTAGAGGCGGACCAGGAGTGAGTGTGACCAGTCATCCGCGGCACTTGGTTGCCCCCTCTTTCACAGGGCACCCAGGTGGCTCAGTCAGTTGAGCATCCAACTCTTATTTTCAGCTCTCAGGTCAGGATCTCACAGCCCGCTTCGGATTCTGCGTCTCCCTCTCTCTCGGCCCCTCCCCCGCTCGAGCTCTCTCTCAAAATAAATAAATAAACGTCTAAAAAAAAAAAAAGATGCCCTCCCTCTGCCCCTTCCCCTGCTCGAGCTCTCTAAAATAAAAAATAATTAGAAAAAACCTCCTTCATTTGGATTCCGTAACATCACACTCTCTTGGTTTTCCTCCTTCCTCTCTGGTTACTACTCCAAAAAAAAAAAAAAGAGGTTTATTTATTTTTGAGAGAGAGAGAGAGTGTGTACCAGTAGGGGAGGGGCAGAGAGAGAGGGAGAGACACAGAATCGGAAGCAGGCTCCAGGCTCCGAGCTGTCAGCACAGAGCCCTAGGGGACAAGGGGCTCCTGAACTCCCACAAACGGGCGAAGATTCTGCTGACCTGAGCTAAAGTCAGATGCTTATTTTACTGAGCCACCCAGGTGCCCCCAAATTCTGTCAGTTTTACCTTCAAAATATATCCAAGTTCTGGGGCGCCTGGGTGGCTCAGTCAGTTGAGTGTCAGACTCTTGATTTCGGCTCAGGTCACGATCTCACAGTTCCGTGGGATCGAGCCCCATGTTGGGCTCTGAACTGGGGGTGCAGAGCCTTCTTGGGATCCTCTCTCCCTCTCTCTCTCTCTCTCTCTCTGTCTCTGCCTGTCTCCCGCTCACGCGCACATATGTACGTGCTCTTTCTCCCAAAATAAACAAACATGAAAAACAGTATATATCCAAGTTCTGACCACTTCTCCCCACCTCTGCTGCTATGATGCCATCATCTCACCCTGGATTTTGGCTTCCCGATTGCTCTCCCTGCTTCCACCATTGCTCCCCTTCAGTCTGTTCTCAAAGTAGCCATCAGAATGGTATCACTAAAACGACAATCTCCTCCTATCTCTCTTCTGTTCAGAAGCTTCTAGTAGCTTCCTGTGTCTTGGAATCAAACCCAAAGTCTTGAATGGGGCCCCACTCTCTTCCTGATTTCATCTCCTCCCACTAGCCTCCTCGCTATTTGTAGGATGTGCCGAGTACAATCCCGCCTCGGGCCCTTTGCTCTTCCCCAGATAACTGGCTGACTTCCCCTTTTCTTCATTCAGGTCTCCCCTGGAACGTCACCTCTTCGTCCAGGCCTTCTCTGCACAATCTCTTTAAAAAATAGAAGCCCCCCCCCCAACCCGTCAACCTCTGTCATCTTACACTATCTTATTTTATTTTTATTATATCTTTTCTTTCTTGTCTCCTCCCATCCTCTAGACTCTGGATTCCGTGGCAGCAAGGACTCTGTGTTAATTGCTGCTTCCCAAGTAGCTAGCCCAATGCCTGACACAATATCTCTTGAATGAATGAAGTTGTGATTTGGATCATAGGCTACTGATGTCCGCCATAGAAGGCGCCACTCAAGAGAGTGAACACCATGTGATGTATGGCTTTAGAACCGGATAGCCTGGGGCCCAGGCCAGCTCCACCATTGATTAACAACGTGATCTCCGGTCACATCACTTCCTCTATCTGTGCCTCGGTTTCCTCATCTCTACAATTGAGTATTATTGAACTATAGAAGGAGTCAGTGACATAATGCATATCCACTGGCACATAGTGCCATGTAGGTGTTATTTTGTGTGGGTATGAGGGCCTGTGTTCAAAGCATTAAGACCACAGAGCAGCAGGCCCCACCCGGAAGCCTGCACGTTTTCTAGGGACTTCTGGGCCCTCTGTGGCGGCTGTACGGTTTCCTATGCCTTCTGACTTCATTCTATTCTGTGACACCCCTGTGCGTGAAGGGAACTTGGACGTGGCCCTGTTCCTTGTCCGAACCAACCTTCCCAGGTCAACCAGAGAGGCAGCCATCTTCCCCACTACCTTCCCGGTTGCGTTTTCCCTGTGAGAATCTCCCAGAGCCCTCGCCTGTCAAGATGTCTTCCACACAGACCGTGGGGTGGGCTAGGCAAATGTTGGCCCAGCTGACTGAGCAAAGGAGGGCCCGTCCTCCTCAAGGCCTCTCTTTGCTGTGAGGAGTCAAGTGTTTCACCAGCTTTGCTGCCTCAGGGGAGGCCCCGTGGAAAAAGGGCAGCCCCCCAGTGGTTCTCACAAGAGGTGTTGTGTGAGAGACAGGCAGCTTCGGAAGTGGTGGCAAATCCATAAAGTGGCCTTTCATGACTGACCGTTAGCAGTGTCTCAGCCCCTGCGGGCCAGGCCCAGGCTGCCCGGCCCTGGCTGAACCATGGCCGACAGAACAGGCGCCCATTCACAGGCTCTCACTACCAACGCGGCCGCTTTCTAAGGGTGCTCTGTCAAGCCAAGTATGCAAAGCCCAAACACGGAGACCCACGTGGCTAGGAAATGCCATCGAATTTCCTGGCTGCTTTTCCCAAATCAAACTTGTTTTAATTTACCTATGTATATTTTTATACTGGCCGTACTTCAGAAAAGAAAACGCAGGGTGAAGTTATTTTTGAATGATCCCCCTTTTAAAAGGACTCCTGGGCTTCAGAGTCGGTAACCGGAGAAGCTTCAGTAGTTAACCACTTCTGGGGCGGGAGACATGGTCCCGGGGCACGTCCCGCTCTGTATTCTTCCCGTCCCAGTCCCAGTCCCAGCCCCAGGCTGGGCGATGTTGCTCAGGGGCTGCTGAGAGGTGAGTGGATGTATACCTGAGCACCCAAAGGCCTTGGGAGCCAGACCCGAAAGATCCCACCTTCTTCTCTCTCCCCTCAACCATAATCCACTGGGAAGGAAACTGCGACTCAGAGAGCCACGTGATCACTAGTGTCTATTTGAAACCAGGCTGATCTGACACAGATCCTGAGCTCTTAGCCACTTGCAAATACTGCCCACGTTCTGTGTTTCATTTTCATTTTCACCAGAGAAAAGGTTCTGGATAACCCGCCAAAGACTAGGTACCCCAGGGAGGCGACCGTAAGGCGGAGAGTGGGACTGAGCAGGTCGCCTCAGAGGCCTGGAGCAGAATCGTGTCCTGTAAACTGTCCCTGGTGTTGTTTCAACCTCGGCTAATACAAACAATATCCTCTTTGTTTCTGGGGAGAATGAATAAGAGACCAGTGCCACTAGCCAAGGAGGCAGAGAAGGGAGCGTCCATGCGTACAGATCGGACAGGGCCAGAGGTTGGACTTTTCGTGGTGCAAGACGTGTGTGCTGGGAGGGTGCTTCGTTTTAACTTCTTCAGAGAGCAGGATTTGTATTAAAGGTGGAGACAGAGGGGCGCCTGGGGGGCTCAGTCGGTTAAGCGTCCGACTTCGGCTCGGGTCATGATCTCGCGGTCCGTGAGTTCGAGCCCCGCGTCGGGCTCTGTGCAACAGCTTGGAGCCTGGAGCCTGCTTCGGATTCTGTGTCTCCCTCTCTCTCTGCCCCTCCTCTGCTCATGCTGTCTCTGTCTCTCAAAAATAAAGGCGGAGACAGAAAGGGGAAGAGGAAGAGAAGAAAGGATGGACAGAAAGAAATCTGGCAGTTATGGGTCAATCTTTTACAACTGTGACTCGAATTCTTTGAGTCACGTGGTTTCCCCAGTTTTTACTTAAAATAACTTTTTCTAATCACAAAAGTACTGTTATCTTTTCAAAATGAGCATCTATGCACCCTGCTACGTTTTATAGCATATCATCATTTTGGACATAAATCGCGTATCTCTCCCTCCCATGCCGTTACATGTTCTGCTACATCATTTTAATGGCTCAAGCGTATGCATTTTAGGGCGCCTGGGTGACTCAGTCATTAATCATCTGACTTTGGCTCAGGTCATGATCTCACAGTTGGTGAGTTCGAGCCCTGCTCCGGGTGAACACAAGCCCCGGGTGAGCCCCACTTCTCTCTCTCTCTCTCTCTCTCTCCCCGCCCCTTTCTCTCTTTCTGCCCCTCTCTCACTTGTGTCCTCTCTCTTTCTCTCAAAAACAAAGGAGTATGCTTTTTAAAGATCTATGGAATCTTACAATTTTTGGACACTGGATTGTTGTCAATTTTTCACCGTATTCTAAATATCACTTTGCATATCTTTGTAGCTAAATTTTTGCACCCATCATTGATTTTATCCCCAAATCGCCCTAAGGGCAATGACTGGATCAAAGGGTGCATACAAATCCCACAGAGATATTATGCCCGCCTGCCACCCTTCCAACGCCAGTAGTTCGTGAAAACGCCCAGCTCCCTCTGTTCTTTGGAATATTGTGGAGACATAGCTGCTGAGGGCATGAGTTTGGCAATCAGACCGCTTAGCGCCATCGTGGCATCTGGCTTGCTGTGCGGGTCACATGAGATCACGCACACAGAGAGCTAAGCAAGGTGCCTGGCCCATAATAAGTGCTCAATAAACAAAACTGTTCCAGGGCTGCCCGGGCGGCTCTGTCAGTCGAGCGTCCGACTGTTGATCTTAGCTCAGGTCATGACCCCGGGGTCGTGGGATCGAGCCCCGTGCCGGGCTCTGCGCTGAGCACGGAGCCTACTTAGACTGTCTCTCTCCCTCTGCCCCTCTCCTCCTTCTCTCTCCCTACTAAGAAAAAATTGCTTTAAAACCGTTCTGGATTCACAGTTGCTCCTGCCCACCCCTGATGTAGTATTCCTTGGAAATGGATACACAACGCGCAATGGCTTCTGAAAATTCTCTCCACAGCCACTGTCTACGCCATCCTCCACATTGAACATGCACCTGCTTCTGCTTCCCTGGCACCAGGTGGCCAACGGCAGGGGGCGGGGGGGACCCTCCGGCCTCATGCCGTTACCATTGTGGATCTACGTGGAGAGTTCCAAACCGGGAAAGAAGCATGTGAATGTGAGCCCCCAATAACAATTGGTAATAATCAACAACAGCCACAGCCAGGTGCTATGCAAGTCCTTGAGGGTGTGATGGTGAACAAAAGAGAAATGGTTTCCGTGTTCCTTTTTTTTTAGATGTTTATTTATTCTTGAGAGAGAGAGAGACAGAGACAGAGACAGAGCATGAGTGGGGGAGAGGCAGAGAGACAAGGAGAGACACAGAATCCGAAGCAGGCTCCGGGCTCCAAGCTGTCAGCACAGAGTCCGACGCGGGGCTCGAACTCATGAACTGTGAGATCATGACCTGAGCTGGAGTTCAAGGCTTAACCAACTGAGCCACCCAAGCGCTCCCGTGTTCTTTTTTTTTTTTTTCATGTTTATTTATTTACTTTGAGGGACAGAGACAATGAGTGGGGTGGGGGCAGAGAGAGAGGGAGAGAGAATCTCAAGCAGGCTTGGGGCTTGATCCTGAGCCAGAATCAAGAGTCAGATGTTTAACCGACTGAGCCACCCGGGTGCCCTGATCTCTGTGTTCTCCAAGCTTCCTGGCTAGTGGGGAAGACCAAGTGTGAGTGAGTGAGTGAGTGAGTGGAGACATTGCAGATGAGGGTTACTGCTAAAAAGTGTCCCAGAACCAACATGCCCCTTGACTGGTCTCTGCTTGTGAACGTAGTTTGGGGTTACATAAAACTGCAGTCTTCCTTGGCACTCCTTCTCTCATCTCTAGAGGTAACTGGTGGGGGGACCTTGGGTAAGAAACTGTCACCAAGGTCACTTCTAGCAGCAGCAGCAGCAACCTTGAGTCAGTCAGGACTGTGGCTCAGGATGCCTTCCCGGTTCACAGGGTAGGGGGCTGTGGCTGCTGGAAAGGCGGCTTTCCCCGGGCTCCCAAGGCCCACTGTGGGGCTGCTGTGAATGTGGGATTTGGGACACTGTGCCTCCCCACACGCTGCCATCCAAACTGAGCACAGTGACCAAGCGGACCTGCTCCTGGGTAGCTCCCTTGGTTGAGCGTCCAACTCTACTTTCGGCCCGGGTCATGATCTCAGTCGTGGGATCGAGCCCCTCATTGGGCTCCATGCTGGGCATGGGGACTGCTTGAGATTCTCTCCCTTTCTCTCTCTCTCTCTCTCTCTCAAAATATTCCAAAGACCCTGGGGCCCTGCCTTGCACATTTCAAGCATTCAGTGCCTAGGTCAGATGCTACACATTGTTTCTAACTTGTACTCGGGACATGCGATACCTTATTCCACACCAAGCACACATAGCGATTATACTAAGTCAGCTTAATCTTTCTCTATTTGTGCCACGCGGGATCCTGAATCGCTGCTGGTCTGCAGATATCAATTTTCAAAAGTGGCGTTCATCCCCAAGAACAAATCTTAATACGTTCCCTTGCCCTTGGTTTCGCTGGAAGGCCAACCATCGGGCCGTTGCTCACGGTGAGTGGTGCGAAACGTTGGGTAGAATGTCTGTGCCGCGTAAGTTAGGGCTTATTTTGCTCTTATCTATATTACATGAAAAGCTAGGATGGGAGGAGGGGGGAGGCTCCAGTGTCACTGCACAGACCACTCAGCTGTTTTTGTCTTGTACACAATCCAGGCAAGTGGAACATTCAGGAGAGCTGGGAGAGGCACATGTGCAGGGGGGCGGGGAGGAGGAGAGAAGGGGACCAGACAGTCTCCCCAGCCCTCCGATCTTCCTTTGTCTCACGCCCACGCCCCCCTTCATTATCTTGGCTAGATGAGTGCCAGACCTCTCTCCCTCCTCCCCTCTTGCCTGAGTGGGTGTTGCGAATAGAGAAAACATCCATCCGTGTCATGAGCCGTCCTAGACTTTTTGAACACTCAGATTCAGCTGCTACCATAGGAACAGTTAGAACAGTGTCTATGAGACCGAAGGAGGCTCCGGCCTCGTTAGCTGGTCCGCAAGAACTTTGCAAGAAGACACAGACAGAGTCACCCCTTGACCTTGAGCATTTTGCTTCTGCGGGAAGAGGTGCAAACAACCATTTCTGTACCCATCACTTATGGCTCCACCTCGGATCCCTGCTTGGCTAATCTGCTCCGCTCACTTGGTCCGGTCTTAACATCCCCATGCCCCAGATCCCTCTAGAAAATGGGGTTTCAGTGCCTCGACTTCTTTGAGTGACTTACACAGGCAAATGTTAAACCCTTCATAAAGTTCTGTGGGGTCCTTCTGTTTGGTGTATTCAAACCACCGGCTGTAAAATAAAGCCAGCCGGCAACAGCCAAACAGAAATCACCTTTAATCAAGCAATTCTACTTCTAGAAAAGTTTCCCGGAGGGGCTCTTTGGTCATAGATGCAAAGATGTATATACAGAGATGTTCCACCACGGGTGCAATTGAGATCATTGAAACGATGGAAATAACTGAGTTGCCCACAAATACCATGTCTGTTGGCCACATTATTAGTGTCTCAGGAGGGAATACTGGGCAGCTATTGAAAAGGCTGGTGTTGGCTCCGTTCGTCGCTATGGGAGGATATCTGGGATGTGTTTAATGATGCAAAAGCAGCCTTCGAAATCATACGTGATGTGAAAGCCGCGCGGGCCTGGATGGAAACAAATCCCAGAAAGAAGGCGGATGATGGTCTGTGGTGATGATGGTTAAGCTGGGCTTTGTGGGTTCACTTTTTCTACATTTTCTTCAGATCAGAAAAAGAGTACGTATTAACCAGGAAAAAAATGAAGCTCCTTCCACGTCGCGAACAATGACCGCCTAACATGTCTTACGAATCTTTCCTTCCCAGATGGTGACATGCCTCCGAATCGGTGGCGTTTCTCTTCTCAGTGGACAAAGCCAGAGCCCGGAGCATCTTTTGCATACGGCGCCACTGACTGCAGCTTCCGTGGGCCCGGTCTCATGACTATGGATCACTACCCGGTGCCCCTGGCGGGGAGCCCCTCCGTTCCGTCTGGCGAGCCGTGGCCTTACCCCTCCCCGGCCAGCCCCAGCTCCTCGGAGCCTGGCTACTCTCACGCCTACTCCGGCGGGCACGTGCCATCCGAGCCCCAGCCTGATGGGAAGTATGAGCCTTTCCTAAGCCTCCTCCAGCAGGACCGATACCTAGCCCCTCCTCAGGAAGCTGCAGTGTGGGAGGATTGCAGCTCTGCTCCGACAGCCGGAAGCACGGGATTGACCTTCAACTTGCCTGCCGGCTCAGCCCACTGTAAGGAAACGCCTCCGGATGCTCGGGGGATGGCTTCCGATTGGTTGCAGTTGAGAGGGAGTGGGCATGAGATGGGGTGCTAAGACTCATTGCTCCCACTCCAGACGTGGGGCTTCTGAGGGATGGGACGTTGTGCTCGAACCTTCCGTAGACCTAAGTCTAAGTGAACTTGCTAAGCTTCACTGAGGGTCACAGCTTAATGATTCAGGGTTACCCAGGGAGCCAGCCAGATGGTCTTGGCCCCGAATATTGACCCCAGTCTGTTGACTCAGGACTTATCCTAGAAAAATGATTTCGGTGGCGCCCTAAAAAAATCACAGGGTCCTGCATTCACCTCGCTGTAAGCCGCCAAAGAATCCGGCTGTAAAACGGAGCTCTGTGGCATACCTACGGGCTCCAACTCCATCCTCCAAACAGGTTGGCAACTCGCAGTGACGCCCGGTTCCCGGGCAAAACCAAGGGCCATCTATACCAACCATCTGCTTCAAACATTAAAATTCAAAGCCACTCAGTGAGAAAAAATGAAATCTGGCCTTTTGTAGCAACGTGGATGGAACTGGAGAGTGTGATGCTAAGTGAAATAAGCCATACACAGAAAGACAGATACCATATGGTTTCACTCTTATGTGGATCCTGAGAAACTTAACGGAAACCCGTGGGGGAGGGGAAGGAAAAAAAACAAGAGATTAGAGTGGGAAGGAGCCAAAGCATAAGAGACTCTTAAAAACTGAGAACAAACTGAGGGCTGATG